GGGGTGTCGAATCGACGCCGCCCACCCCAGCTCGGCGCTTCGCGCCGTCGCCGTCGCCGCGGTCGAGCCGCTCCATTTTTTCACTGCCGGATCGGATAAAACGATCGGGGTGTGGGATCTCACGCAAGGCCGAGCGAGCCTTTTGAAATCCCTCGCGAGTCGTGGGATGGTGCTCGGGTTTGATACCGCCTCGCACTACTTGTTGGCCGGGTGTGCCGATCACGTGGTGCGGTTTTGGAATACCACGACGATGCGTTCCCTGGAGTTGGCGGGGCATGGGGAAAAAGTCGTCGCCGTCGGGCTCGCCTCCACCGCGCAGCACGCCGTCAGCGCGAGCTCCGATCACACGTTAAAACTGTGGGATATTCGCCGCCGGGAGGTGTTGCGGACCTCGTTGGTCGAGAGCACCTGCAACGACGTGGTGGTCCTGAACGACAGCCTCGTCTCGGCGCATTATAACGGGTCGTTGATCACGTGGGATCGCCGAACCGGGGCGCGAACCTGCGAGCTCGCGAATGAGCATCAAGGGCCCGCCACCTGCGTCCGGGTGAGCCCCGACGGTCGGCTGTGCGTTTCACTCGGGAAGGATAACACGCTGATCGTGCGCGATACCCGGGTGTTTACCCAGACCTTGCGCAGCATCCGACCCCCACAACTCACGGTGACCTCGAATTGGACGAGGTTCGAGATCTCGCCAAACGCCCCGATCGCCGCGGTGGGAAACAACCGCGGGCAGGTGCTTTTGTTAGCCCTCACGCAGGGCGTCGAGGACGCGCTGATGCCCGGGGTGCGCCCGACCAGGAGCTCCGGAAACGGGGTGAACGAGCTCGTGCTGTCGGTTTTGGAAGGAGGGCATGAGAAGACGTCCGCGGTGCATGGCGTCGCGTGGACTACCGAATCCCCTTCGAGGCTGATTTCGATCGGGGAAGATCGGAGGCTCATTGTATGGGAGTAAAAAGTGGTACCGTATGATGGATCATTTTTTGTTGTTCTGCTTTCTGAAAGCGATTCCTCACCTTGGATCTTAGAAACGATCCCGAACCTCTGTCAAGGTGCATAAGCTCATGATCTTGCTTGTACACATCCATTCATAAATCAATATATATATATATATGCGCCACATAGTAATGCAAACGTGCTAACTCAGTATGTAATCAAAGCTAACCTGTTCGACATTGAATTGATGCACCAAAAATGAGCATTGGTTTATGGCCCTTATGTCGTTCCACTCCATGGGTGAGGTAGCTGTATTTTCAGGTTTGGTGTCATCTCCGCATTTCCTTTGAGAAGGGGATTTATTTGCAATCAGAAATGATATTTTTTCCGCTTTTGCTTAAAATCCATGTCTGGATGTTCATCGAAAAAAAAGTCAAGAGAGAAGCTTTTCTTTAGTATATCACATTTCGGTACTTCGTTTTACAATTTGTTCCGTGTAATTTCGCTCTTTACCACATCACATCTTAATCAAAATTTACGATTTACATCCTACTTCCTCAAACTTAGTTGTACTATCGATTAGCGTCTCTTTGTTGGTAATTTTATATCACAAAAAGTAGAACTCATTATAAGTATTAACCTTTAGGTCTGATAAAAGGCAAAAGGACCGATGGTCTCATGCATCAATCTTAGTAGTGGCAGTGTTCTAGGTGCTGCCCTCAGCCTATCCGTTACCACAATGGGCGCAGGTATACTAACGTTACCTTCTGCCTATGCCGATGCTGGGGTCATTACGGCAACACTTTTGATGTTATTTATTGCCATCATGACGGTCTACTCCGTCGACTTTATCGTTCATGGGGTCGAAAAGCTTGGTTTAAACAGCTACGAGGAGCTCACACGGGAGCTCTTTGGTCGTAAGGCTGAGGAGTTCGTTCGGGTTGCCCTTATCTCATATAATATAGGCTCCGCCATCAGCTACTTGGTCGTGACCGGGGATATCCTAGCCCCACTACATCCCATACTTTCCCAGTACGTGTCAATTCTGTTGACGCCGCGGCACACCCTTTTTCTCTACTGGATGCTGTTTGTTCTGCCTTTATCGTGCATCCCAAATTTGGGATCGCTACACGCGATTTCGTTTTTCGCTATCATCTCTACGTCGCTGATCTCGTGCATGGTGGTCTACCGCTACTTTGTGCCCAACTCCCCACAGGCAACTGACAGCATCAATAATAATGGTAAAGTGTCTTTTGTTGGAAATTCACAGGCGAACGCAGTGGCATGGTGGTGGGGGACCAACCCCTTGCTAGCCATCCCAATCTTTATGTTCTCCTTCGATTGTCAATCGCTAGTTTTCCAAATCTATGCTGGTTTAGATAACATGCGCCGCAGCACCATGTTTACCGTCGCGACGCTGAGTTTAATTGTTTCGAGCACAATCCACGGTGCAGTGGGTCTTTTTGGGTACCTGACAAACCCCACTGATGTGCGTGAAAACATTATTAACAACTACGATCCCACATCAGACAAGCTTTTCGCGGTGGGATACGCGATTTATGTGATCCCGATTAACTTGGCGTTCGTGTTATTACTGTTTCCAATCCGGGACTCCATTTTTATTCTCTGGTATGGCTACAGCAAGGCCTCGGTTGCCACGCACGTCCCCCAACCTAAGAGGTTCGTCCGCATCGTGGACGAGGAGGAGCGTCTAGAGCACCTCGCGCTGCTCAACGCCGGAAACAGCACAGACGTAGAAAGTGAGACGTTGCTGCACGAGATGCAGATGAAAAAGAAGTACTACAACGATATTGAGACGATCTCGATGCGAGACCATCTGCTAGTTAGCATCTCGCTCAGCACGTTTAGCATAGCGGTGGCACTTTTTATCCCCAACATCGTCTCGATCATAGCGCCGCTAGGTGCGGTTTGTAGCTCGACGCTGTGTTTTATGGTGCCTGGGTTGTACCGCTGGAAACTCCACCAGCTCGGCATTTCGAGATACGCAAGCGTACTGGAGCGAGTTGAAGTGATCATTCTAATCGCCTTTGGTATCATTGCAGGTGTCGTCGGGACTATTGTAAGTATTATCGAATATTTTTAGCTGTAAGAATATGCCTTCGTGGGTTGAAGAGTGTTGTAACACGTCTTAACATTTTTTGCCCGCTTATTTGTGTTGTATAGATGTCTGCTTGCTTACTTTATATATTTAGGTATGACAAGGAGGGACATCAAAAAGTAATGAAAATATGATATTGCCATAAAGTGATAGTATTACCAGAATGCATCCTTTCGCTTATTTATTCCCCCTCTCCACTTTCTGTTGTGTTCCTCCTGAGAGTGCAAACTATGATCATTATTCAGTATCAGGGCAATATATTCTCTTATCTACCAGATGCAAAGTATGCTGCCCCTGTGGGTCTGCCTTTATTATTTTTTTCCTTCAAAATTCAACGTTCCTTCCATGGAGATGCTGCTTTTCAGACAATCATTGAAAGGACGTAAACTGTTTATTATTACTGTTACTATTTGGGCACATATTAATAAAATGTTTCTCATTCTGTATTTTGAGTCCTTCCGCTTATTTAGTATGTTTCTTATTTACTTCATTTGTTATCCTTGATTGCATATCGACTCTAAAAGAATGCCCTTTTATATAGAACCTTTAGTTATATTTATTCTTAATCATTCATGGACTTGTGAGGGAAATTAAGCATACATCAATATATATTTTTGTTGATTCAGTCAGGCAAATGTTTAGTGGGCAAATGTAGACTTCCTTTTCGGAAACGGGCGGGTTACGGAAATTTTGAGAGATGGAGAAAAAAGTATGCAAAAAGATTTACTGCTCCTTTCACGAGATCACTTTCCTTATTTTCTTTGAAAGCTTTATCTAACAAGTTTCCTATAACCTCCGCCTCTGTGGCTGACTTCTTTATCCCTCTTGTCTCAGTCTGTTGAGCGATTCATAGGAGTGACTCCAGAGGTACAAAGCATTATGCTACCTGAAGGTGCGTTGGGTTTCCCATACAGGTATGAGAGCCTCTTATCTCCCTATGTATTCCCTCAACTCATCCGCCTGGTGTATCGAGGATTCGTAGCAAATCAGCTCGGGCGGGCTACCAATTTCCGATGCACGTTTAGGTCACCCTTCATGGACAGCTTCGCAGCCTATTTGAATTCAGCTAGACGTCGGCTTTGTGAGTTATCCCTCCCTTCTCACCCACTCAGGAGATCATCCATGTTCAGAAAAATTGCTACCAAATACGAAGCAGGCATGAGGCCCTATGGGAACTTGGATCGGGTCCCGTCGGCTCAAAACATAGCGCCCGGTCTGTTTTACTGCCCCATGTCGGAGGATATGTGGTATTACCAGTTCCTTTTGCACCCTACCACCTCCTCGTCTCTCCATCCGTCGCCAAAGAAAGAAACCAACGGGGGTTCTCCCGATTTCAGGCGGCGCGAATCCCAGACCGGGAGCGGGACCTCCAGCCAAACTTCCAACGAGGACGCTAATATCCAACCCGATTTGCCAAAGCCTCGAGTCCGTGGCGAGGTTCCGCCGATCGGGCGTCGTGTGGATGGGTTTTACGTCTCCCCCGTATGTGAGGCATGGGGCGGTCTATGGCAATGGCGAGCGGTGTGGTGCGCGCGATCCCCTAATGTAGAGCCCATCGCCGCACCTCACGACTGCTGCCCGTCTCCTTCCACACCCGCCGTGGGATCGGCAAGCGCGGGTGAGAAAAGCTTGAACTTCACAGGCCGAAACGCCCACGATACCCTTCTGGAGGAGGAAATCGAAAAGGAGGCCGTCAAAGGGGTGAATCAGGAAGCCGAGGGCGGAAGTGACAGGCCACAGCCCCCTAAGCGCCCGCGATGGGGTTCGGGGGGGTACCACATGCTGCCTTTTCTTATTTTTCCATCAAGCGGGGGGTTGAGTTCGGGCCCGCCTCTGCATCTCAACCACGCCGTGGTATCGCATCTACTTTCCACAACGACCGGCCAGGGATCGCGAAAAAGATATCAGGGAGAGGAGCTTGTACGTGAGGGCAGGCCCGGCGAAGAGGGGGCTGAGGACGGGGTTTTTATCACAATTCCTTCGCTAATTGGCAATATCATCGTCATCCCTGGCGAGCGCAATCCGCCGTGCGTGGCCAGACAGCCACGGTTACGATCCCACCATCCCACCCCCTTCTCGTCGAAAAATACCGACTTTGGTAAACCGTTTTATCAAACCTTCGTCCCACAACGGCAGCGCGTGGTGGATAATATCTTTAATCTCTTAATCCCTGCGGACTCGCAGTGGGGTCGATCCGATGCGTCCGCTCTTTCAGGGGCCTCATCGCAGACTTTATCGCCAAAGCATGGCAACGGTCATGGTATTCAACGCCCAGCAACGACTTCATCTATATTTAAAGACATTACAACCCCAATAAACCCTCTGGAGGGCGACTATACGCATGCCTCCTCGACGCCTCGAGTTAGCTGCTCTAAGCACATGCTAAGCGGAGACGTGGGATCAGCGCGTTGTCTGGCTTCGACCCCGCTACCGCTAGCGTATCAAAATATCATCTATGGGGGTCTTGCCGAGCTCATCCTGGCGGTGGACTGCTACGCTGCTCTGATTGCTCGAAAGGAGCTGACTGTCGCATCGGCCTGTTGGGCTATTCTGTGTGATACGAAACATAGCAATATCCTGGTTAGCCTGCGCAGTCATGCACTTGACATCGAGCGGGAGGTTCTGGCAGCTGTGGAAGCGCAGAAGCACCTCACGCGGGTTGCGAATCGAACGAATCAGAGCTGTGTGGGCAAAAGCTCCGGAGAGACGACGACATTGACAGGGTACCCCGCGATAGCACACTGGCATTTCTCTTAGCTCAGTGTGGAGTTCCGTTTGGTGGAAGCACGCTGATAATCATCATAGTGAATGTGCTACAGAGGTCTTATTCTCTGTGTCGTTGGTTTAATTTTTTTTCATTCCTAAATGTCACTTTTTTTTTCATCAATATGTACGCCTGTATATTTTACCGTTCACTTGTGTTTAAGAAAAGACTGCTATACACAAGTATATATATATATATTCTTGCCACCTCCATGTCACGTATTTATGTACTTTACGATTAATTATCGTTTTCAATTCATTCTTAAGAAATCTAAACTACACATTGTGCATCAATAACATCCCTCAGAGGGCACGCATCTGATGAATGACGAATTGCTGGGATATGCTATTTATATTTATCCACCATGGGTTCGTGCTGGTGAGGCGTTGTTCTTTCCTTTTCTACACACAATACAGAAGAAGCTAAGTGCAGGAGCTTATTAACTGAAACCATTCGAAATTCTTCTTTAACTTTTCCTCATGCAATTCTGCTTTTAATTTCCTTTGATTCCTCTCCTGCTGCACGCATAAAATATTTACCATAGCAACTACCGATCAATATGAAACCAGTGCTTATTTTACTCAGATAATAAATGATGCATAGCTCTTAACCATTTACTTTCCTCTCCTCTACAAGCTAGGACATTTTGAGTGTGTAATATTTCTTAACTTCAGACAACAAAATCAGTATTACTTTGATATAGGACGAACAGAAGGTACAAATACACTGCGTATTTCAAGCTAATCATGCCCTCCACCTCTCATGAAGCCTCTGCAAGCAGCACACAGTTCCAGAATCAACGACAAGGCATTGCGCGTCTCTTTGTTGGGCAGCTTAACTTTGACGCCACCGAAAACGACGTTCGTCAGATCTTTTCGTTTTACGGTCACGTCCTCTACGTCAATACCTTACAGGACCAGAATGGCAAAAACACGGGATCTGCGTTCGTAACTTATGCCACCACCGACGAGGCCGACGCCGCGATTCAGGCTCTCCATGACCACTATAACATGGGACGGGATAAGCCATTGCAGGTTTCCTATTGTAGGAGGAGCGATTTAATCTCTCCCTTTGGGTATCAACACGCGTTGGAGATTCGCGATCGAAACAAATCCAACCCGCTTCCCCCGCTGCAACGGATACAGTGAAGGGGCTCCATAAAAACCATACATGCTGATATGTATATCTATATATCTATATATATGTATGTATACGTGTGAGCAATGTATCTTTTAATGGAAATATCATACTTTCATTTTTATCGAGGTAACAATCTGCTTCGTAGTACATTGATATATTTTTAGTCATCGTCTCTTCGATTCTAGGAATTGATGAGAGTTGTATTTTATTCTCAAATTTGCATCGGCTCTGCGAGGGTTGATGAATTACTTGTGTAGTTATATATTACAATTAAGTTTGCGTCCTAATTAACAGGCCTACTAGTTTGCTACTTTGTGTTACTTTTTATTTCTTTTTCGTATTTACTTCAATCCCAATTCAAGGTTGAAAGTGTAAGTATGGAAAGGAGGCGGAGAGGGAAAGTGAGCCTCTACGCGTCCCAGAGAGCATAAGATTTGAACGAATCTGTGCATGATGTTCCTTCAGAACTCATTCGATCACTTTCATATCCTTTAATACTCACTCCTTCTTATAAATGCTGTAAGGATGACCAAAAAGCCAAGTAAATCGAAAAAAAGTAGCCAGTGAAACAAGAGAATGGCTTATGTAAAATAGTTCCCACCCATTTTAGCTTTCCACACCTACTGTGGAGTTTGAATTGATGGTCTGTCATGTCTGCCCTTCTTCCCCC